ACAGGAGGCATCACAGCCCCCCTCCCCACTACACCCACACCTCCATTCAGAAGTGGTTCCAACTAGTCAATCCCCAAACACACAATGGGCACAGCCATTTTACATCTCATCCGAGCCACTCCCTGAGATGCTACAACCATTAACGAAAAAAAAACAAACCAATGCTTCCAAGCTTTCACACTTCCGATGCAATATTTCTCGAGCATGTTTGTTGGCATCTTGCTATCCCTCATGATCTCCCCACAAGCCTTCCTGCATTGTGGCAACGCGTCTCCCTGCTTTCCCCTCCACAAACCGCCTACCTCCGAGACATTAATCCTCTTCCCAGTGTTTTTGGCTTCACACCACCTGATCCAGCTCGAATGCACGGGGCCCAGGTTTTGCGTAGAGCCAGCAAAAAAACTCCTGTCTCCATTGAAAACGTACATTTGTTCCTTCAACGCCCTTATTATTAATTGCTATAAAACTTAATTTTATTCATCATTTGTTATGCCTCAAAATTGGATGGGAAAAAAATTCAAATTAAGTGAAGTGAAAAGATTTCAGAGATGGTACAGAAGGCTCCTGAAGGAGCTGAAGAAAACTCTCCGGAGACTGGGAACGCAGCGCTAACCCAACCTGAAAGAAAGAAGATCTTAAGACAAAGAAATCTTGCCAAATTGATCCTTTAATTATAACATTAGTTGTTTCTTTCAAAGGCTTAGTGCAAGAGCTGGGGGTGGGGGGCAGAAAAGACTTAAAGGGAGAAAAGACTTAACAACACCAGGATGAGTGGAAGCAATTAGGAGGATTTAAATTACTCTCTTGTTTGGTACAAGGCAGATGGATTTCATTTTTCTTGCCATCGTGCTCAACTTCTTGCTTTGCCATCAGCTTCCAGAGGTCTTCTCCTTGGCAGACCCGAGGACGTAGCCTTCCCAGGTCAGGCAGCATCCCCTTCCACTCTGCACCCACTCAGCTATTGCTGCGGACCATGAATACCAGTGATTATGGCAGCTTTGTCACCCTGGAAAGGGGCTGGAAGTATGAGACTGGATAGGGGAAAGGAGTCTACCAGCCCTCATCAGGAGGACAGATGCTGCAATGAATGGAGGAGGGTGATTACAAACCATTTTTTCTCTGTAGGGGCTGGGGAAAGGGAGATGGAAAAGAGTCAAAACACAGCCTGTCTGGTATCAGAAACTCCACATGAGTCCTCAACATTATACCTCCAAGCATGGCTTATTTTTTATCTTCACTCTTTCATTTTCTTGCTCCCAGCGACAAGCTAAACATAAGCCATCTTCTTGCCAGGAGGGGCAAAGCAGGCAGGACCTCTGCAGTAGCTAGGACAGGACCAGTGACAAGCTGTGGTCATTACTGGGATGGCATTACTCCCACTGCAGCACCACGCATGCCACAGGCGGCAGGGACGGGGCAGCGTGGCTCTCACCTGGTCTCTGCTGCTCTGGAGATGCAGCCCAAACACAGAGATCCAAATCGTTTTACATGAGAAACAGCTGAGCCAAAAAAAAAAAAAAAAATTCACAAAGAAGGGAGAGCAGACCTTTGCAAATCTCCATCACAGGGCACATGCAACTTCTGCATCCCCCGGACTTGGAATCGACCGACCGCAGGGCACCGTCCGCAATGGGCCATCAGCCGCAGGGCAGGAGGAGGTCCCATCCACCCCTCCTAACTCCTCCTGCAGCATGCAATTCTCTCTCTGCACTACAGCGGTCCCCCCTGAAAAGGGGGGCAGGGCTGCAGGTGCGCCCTGCCACACCTCAGCAGGGTGCTGGATGACACCAACCTCAGGCCACAAGACGGCAGCAGGCAACACTTGATATGACTCTCAGCATCTTCCCAAGCTCCCAAATCCACCGGCTGCCACGCAGCAGAAAACAGGGCATTTCAGCTGATGCTCCATCCTTGCTCGCTCCCACTGACTCTCTTCTGCCAGGATTATTTCAGTAGCTTGTGTAGCTGAACAGTCACATCTCCTCGGGCTTCATACCTGCTCTCAAAGAGGAACAGGGCCAATTTTTTTTCTTCCCTGCTTTCAGTTAGAATTAATTGATCCGTAATTGCACCCATAGAGGTGGAAAGTTAACAGACACAGTAAAACATGCCAAAGCCCCAGAAGAACTGGCTCTCCAAGCCCCTGCCTGGAGTGACTCCATCTCCTCTTAACAGCGTTGCATGCAATCCCAGTGCATGTGTGCGTGTTAGTATTTAGAGAGAAAAATCAAGGAGTCTCGTTATGATGGAAATAATTTCTTTTCCTCTCCCACATACTTTGTGCTTAGGAGCAGATGGATCCAGGCTGTTTACATCACGGAGGTCATGCCTCAGCTTAACAGTTGGGGAACTGACTGTTGGGAGAGATGCGCATCACAACCAGAAGATTGCTAAATCTGGGCTCCGGCAAACTTCTGATGGTGGCAAGTTAAACATACAAATGTCCTCCTGCAGCCTCTTCACATCCAGGACCTGCCTCGAGTGTTTGTTTCCTCAAAGAAAACCGCTGCTGAGATGAAGAGAGGCAGAGAGGCAGCTCTGCAGCAGCTCGTAAGCGTGAACTTCGAGAAGAGGCCTGGAAATCCCGAGCAGACCTCGTTATTCTCCGGTGCAGATGGTGCAGTTTGCAGGCAACGTGGGTCCAGGTTTCTGCAAGCGGGCTACCAGGGCTCGCCGCTCATCACTGCGCCCCAAGTTAACAGAGCGACTGTGATTTCAGCTAGCTGGGCGCGGCTGCCTGTCTTCCCCCAAAGCAGTGCCACAATGCCAGGGGAAGGTTTCCTTCACGTAGAGGTGTTTCCATGGAGCTCATCCCCAAACTGACCTTCTCCTCCCAGCTCAGCCCAGCCGTGGGGCGTGCACGGGGATCCAGCCAGACCCTGCCTGCTCATCCAGCTCAGAGGCTGGGAAATGGAAAGGTCACCCTTCCCCTCCCGCAGCAGAGCCTAGTGCTCTCTCCAGCACAAGAGGATTGCAAGAAGTGTTAAAAACAATAAAAACTAAGCAAGCAAAGCGAGGAACGAAGCCTTTCTTATTGCACTCAAGGACACACATTGCTTGTGTGCAGAAGTACCTTCTCCTGCCTCACATCACACCCCTCCACGGCTCTGGCAGCAGCTTTGGCAAGAGGATGCTTCACCGCCACCGAGGTACTGCATCCACTGAGCCGCAAAGGATGTCTGTGGCCATGGCCAGGCAGGAGGGCATGCACGGTGGCCTTGCCATCGTGTGGCAGAGCCCAGCTTGCCGCCTCCACTCACCTCACTCAGCCCTCCGGGGAGCTGAGCAGTCACGCTTTTCCCTAGGTATCTGGCACACCACAAGAGCATCTCCATTGCCAATTAGGCCACCCACCCACTTGCATCCTTCCCCAATACAAACCCTATTAGCGATAAACAAACAGTTGAAATGCCAGCCGGTGCCTGGGAAGGGCCCTAGACAACTGCATCCAATTTGCGGGCGCGGGAACAGCTGCCTCATGCAGTCCCCACACAGGCAAGCACCGAGCGTGGACCAGGACACGGGCTGGGCATCCTGCCAGCCACCCTGTGGTCCTCCTGCCAGTGGCTAGCTTGTAGGCCAAAGCAGTACTACCTTGCTGTGTCCCCAGGCTGCTCTTAGCATCACACCAGCACCAAAAGCCTCAGTGTCCACACAACACACTATGTTGGCACGATTCAACACTGCAATAAGGGGCTTTTCCAGCTGCCTAGCTCTGAGCTTCCTGACTTTCCTTCTCTGGGCTTTTGTAGGAAAGCCCCTGCTTGACACTGACACCCAGTTGGACTTTGCTCAAATCCCCAAGCTGGATGTGGCATAAGAAATGCAAAAGCCACCCAACGTTGCTTGGATGTTTTCAGCCTCCGTAAGAGCTCCCTCCCTGCAAGGCAACGTGAAGCCCTTCCTGCACCCTGTCCCCAGGGTCCCTGGACTCAGTCAGACCCCAGACTGAGAGCTGGGGAAATTCAACCCACCAACAGAACCTGAAGCCCAGCCTGCCGCTCCAGAAGCGCTCCTGAAACCACCACCATCACACCTGAACTCACGGGGACACAGGACAGTGACAGAGATGACCAGGGCCAGTCTCCACATTGATCCCAGCATCTAAGGGCTTTCCAGCTGGCCAAACCAGTGCCACAGTGGCTTTTTTTTTGCCATGAGGGGCAATTAGGAAAAAAATTACCTGCTGCTGGGCACGGGGTCCCCACTGCCACCTGCAGCAAGGGCAGAGGAGCCCACATCCCACTTCCAGTGTAGGAGAGGGCATGCTCTCCCCATGCACCAACCCCTGCCAGCAGCTGAGGTTGTGTGGATGCAACCACAGTTCATTGTCATGGAGACAAGAAGCCTTTTTCTCTCCAAACCCAGCTTAATAGCTTGGATTAAAACCTCCTTTCCCCTAGGAAGAGCAGAACAGGGGCAGTTTCGTTGTCCCTATGTCCCCGGCTTGTCCACATGCACTCCAGGCACCCCTACTCTCACCACTGTGCATCCCCCAACTGGCGCCAGGCACATCCTCCCAGCCACGGCCCGCACAGCATGGAGGTGCCCTGCATCGCTCCCACGCATGCCCCAAACCCATCCCAACCCATGTCCACCACAGTCCATCAGCCAGCAAACGCGCACCCCACTACAAACGCATCCTAGACTCAAGCACGTTTCCATACGGCTCCCTCACGTCTCTCCCCTCCAGCAGGTCCCAAGCAGCCAGAAGATTGACACTGACCATTTCTTGCAGGTAACCAAACCCGTGAGCTCTTCAGCAAGGCAAAACAATGAGAAAGCATCTTCAACGCTGCCCCTTTCCTGGCTCCTCAGGGAGTGAAGGAGGTAAGCAGAGCCAGGGAGTGATCCCTCACTGTGGGGCAGGCAGGCATGGAGGGGACGGGGGGAACCAGCTACTGGGATCCTGGGGGGCACAGCAGTACTGGGTGCCAACCTTGGGTCTAAGAGGCAGGGGACAGGCACGGCCTGGAGGAGAAGGATGGCATCTCGCTTACCCTGACAGCACTCCCAGGACAAGGTTGAGGACAAAGAAGGATCCAATGATGATGAGGGGGATGAAGTACAACCAGTTCCAGGTGGCTCCTAAGGCATCATTGGTCTGGAGGGGAAAAGAAAAAACATGTGTGACGTTATGTTCAACACGAGCACCCGGGGCAGAGGGAGGGTGCGTTAGCTCAGGCGCGGTGGCGATTCTCCCTCCAGGCTGACCACGCGAGGCTCCTCGAGGTGTCGTGGCCACGTCTGCCAAGCCTGGATGGGCACCAGGCAGCTGCCTGTGCAGGCAGGTATGCCCAGATGGGGGCTCCCAGCCAGCAGTGCCCTGATGCCCCTCTGCATCCTACCACAGCCATGCTCTCCTCCACAGTCTCCAGCCCTCATTGGGCAGGACCACTCTCCTCTGCCTCCTCCTACCATCCCTGCAGGGACACAAGGGCTGCAAGACAATGGTATAGTTGGAGGTGCAGGGCCCTGCGGCCTGAAATCGGGGTGCTGAGGGCACAGGGGCCACCCTGAGTGTGCTCCCCCCGGCAGCTTGATTTGGTGTTCGCCTGCACATCCCACCGAGACAGGGCAAAGCAGCCTCGCAGCAGCAGTGCCTGCTGAGCATGGTGCAGGTTAAGAGGGAAAGATTTGTAAGGTGCCTTAGGGCCAGTGAAGCTGGCAGCTAAAGAAGAGACAGAAGATGCTTGTCCTTCCATGCACGGGGGAAAGGGGCTGGTGCGGACAAGCCCCACACCTTCAAATGGGCGTTTTGCTGACGGCATCATTGCTAATACCTTGCAGACACCCTCCTGCCCCAGGTGCGTTACCCCAACCCCAAGGAGCTGAGAGCGGAGGGTCACTCTAACCGCAGGGCAAAGCCCAACAGCTAAAAAGGCTGCTGGCAAGCCTGCTCTACATCTCCAGACATCTATTCACTGAGGCTTTTAATAAAGCAGTGCCCCTCTGTACCTCACAGCCGCTTCCCAGGCCCCATTTGTCCTCCGGTGTCAGGCACAGCGCACATGACACCGGGCTGGAGGGTGATGTGGCAGAACGTGACTGTCTGGGGGAGGTGGTATCAATCTTGTTGCAATGAAAGACTCTTTCTCTTTTATATCTCTTCCCCCCTCTCCCCATGCTAATTAAGCCCTCATCTTTGTCTGAGTCATTGGCACCACGTCTCCCAGTCGGCCAGTGCAGGAGCCGAGACAAGGCTCTGAAAGGGGAGAAGTGCATCTCTGAGGGGGAGGGAAAGCCACCACACTGGAGTTTTCTTCCAGTGACCAAGGTGTCAGTGGGAACCTCAGCCGGGTGTCCCCACCACCCTGATGCTGAGCCCAAGGCAGGAAGGGCGGTGCTGGCACATCCCACTGCAGGCACCGACCACAGCACCGGGAGAGGGATGCTGTGGGCAGACCCCAGTGCTGAGGAGTGCCTGGCACACAGCAACAATAAGGACTTTGAGGTTGGGGACAGCATCTGGAAAGACTCACCACCCTCCTCCTTCGGCACCGGGGAAACCACGCGCGTCTTATCAAGGTCCTGCACCTTTCAAGAGCCCCAGTCCACCACCAGCCCCTTTCCTCAGGGCCATGGGAGAAGCGAGCGCAGGGAGGTGGGAATGATGCATGGGAATCCCGTATAGCACATGCTCACCACCACCCTCCAGAGACACCCAGGCTACCGCGCTCTGCTCTAACAGCACCATTTGCCATGGCATTAGTCTTCAAGGCATCATGGAACCCCTCAGCCCGAGCTTGGCTGGGCTTCAGCTCCCCAACAAGATGTCATTGGGTAACTGCCACCCGTGCCAGGATCACTCGCCTTTGAAACTGACTCCTGCCCCAAAACCATGGGCTTTCTCCAAGGTCCTTGGCACAGGGGATGCAGAACAGATGAGCTCTGTTCCTACAGGTGAAGAAGACATCTTCCCCCAGGGCTGGGCCACCACCACCCCTTCTTTGGCTTTCTGCCCTCCAGTGATGCGCAGCAGGAGATGGAGTGGGAGTAAGGGATGAGATGGAGCAGAGGGCAGTTTCCCTGGGGTTATCAGCCAGCGATACCAGTAGCAGTACCCAGACCACCTCTTCCCACTGCAGTTTGTGGACATGGCCAAAGCTGGTGGCACCAGGGACCCACATCTGGGAAAGCTGAGGCAGGGGCTCGGCAGGGCCCTGCCAGGACAGGCTGTCTGCGATCTCCACCTCTATGTGCATTTGTGTACCCAGCTCCCACGGGGGTGAAGGTAAAGGGGATTAGAGAGATTTTAGGGGGTTTTGGGGGTTACATGTCCAGCACTGCCAGCAGCCAGTGGCTCCAGGAGGGGCACTGCTGGGCAGGTGAGAGGTCATGGGGAGCTGTGGCCATGGACCCCACATACCCAAGGACACACCACTGACCACAGCAAGCTCAGGAATGGTCCGAGCCACCCAGGATGATGCCAGCAGGCTCAGGAACAGTCCTGCCCTGAGCAGCCACATGGGTCCCCTGGCTGGTGCCAGCTTTGACAGGACCCTCCAGCCCCAAGGTAAAATTTCCCAGGGCACATCCCAACTCTCCCTACAAAACCAGGAGCTGGTGATGCCCAGCCAGGCTGTGGCGGCTCCAGCCCATCATCTGGTACCTCATCTGGTACCTGCTCAGCCGCTTTGACTGCCAAAATTTGCCCTTTTATTCCCCAAGGAGCTGGAAGAGTTGCTCCAGTACCTTTGCAGCACCCAGGCTGCAGAGGGCCCAGCTCGGGGGACAAGGGGGCTTGTTTAGGAAACACAAGGGGCTTGGCATTTCACAGGCTCTGCATATTCCACTGCTTCTCTAGCCCGTGGTGGAGAGCATGACCACAAAGCATTCAGGGCAGCAGGACATCAGCACGGAGAACAACATGCGTGCATGCACGTGTGTGCATACACACGAGTGGATGTATTCCCATCTCTCCACTCCCAAAGCTGAAGCACATCTGTCCAGGAAATCAAAGGAACTGCAACACCTGGCTGCATTTGCCTGAGAGAGGATGCAGACTGCCAGGTTCTCACAGAATTGCTGAGTCCAGACCCCCTTGCATCATGCTATCTCCCCCAGACTTTGGTCAACTTTACCTTAAAAACTCACTATTCCCACTGGAAGGCTCCTCAAGCAGATTCTCTAACAGCTGCTCTAACTTTCAGCCTAAATTTATTTCTAGTCATTTTATATATCCCTCTGTTCTTTTACCAGCATTGGCCTTTGGCTGAAATACTGTTTCCCATCCTGATGTATTTATAGCTAGCTATCATGGCTATCCCCAGCCTCTGCTTTGCTAGCCAAAGCAAGCTTCCTCCAGTTCTCTCTTGTATGACTGGCTATCCCTCCCTATTTTATCTAGTAGCCCCTTCCCTGCTCCAGTCCAGGCTCAGTTCATCTTCCCTGGATGCAGAAGACCCGAGTAAGAGATCCTAATGCGTCCCACTCCACCCCTGCACGATGCTACCGAGACTTTGCCATCCTGCCTGCAAACCTCCTTGATCCTCCAGGGCATTGCTGGCCTAAGGTCACCCTGCGGTCACTCGTTCATCCCATCTTCCTCCACACTGCTACTTCCCAATCAGCAAGACCTGGGCTCCTAGGAGATATCTTTGCTGTTCCTCAACAAGCACATGGCTTTCCATTTCTCACTGCATCCCACATCTCTTCCTCCAGCCCTCAAACTTCTCCAGCTCGGGGTGGCAGCCTCTGTCCCCTCAGCTCCGGGAAGCTAGCCGACGCTGGAAGCAGGAAAGCCTGTAACTCATCCTCAAGGAGCCCTGCCAGTCGCCACCAGCCACTATGTCCCCTCAACACCACCCAGCGCCATCCCGGCACTGCTCACTTCCCTGCCAGCCTCGCAGAGCTCCTCTTCTCCTTCCCCTCTTCTCCGCTTCATTAACACTTTCCCATAGCAAAAGCTTTACTACAAAGAGCAGCTCTACACGTTTCCAGGTCTCTGATGCCAGGTTAGCCTGGTGTGACCTACCTTTGGCAAACCCATGATTCATTTTCCTCTTTTGCTTTCCAAATCTGTTCTGAAATGGCATGCAATCGAGGTCAGGCTTACAGTCCTATTCCTGCCTGCCTTACTTTTTTTCCTCTCCTCCCCCCGCTTTTAAATATAGGCATTGCATTCGCTATTCTCCAGTCAGATGGTGCCTCCCCCAACTCGACGGAGTTGTTAAAAATACTTGTTACCAGACCTGCCATTTCATGTGCCAGCTCCCTCCAAGAGCAGGGAGGGGAGAGAAGCCATCCCGAGCACCGGACTGATGGGCGCGATGGTCTCGGCACTTGGCTTCCACATCAGCTGTGCTCGTGGCCGTGTCCTCGTTCCCACTATCCAGGCTTTTTTATGGCCTCTGTCTTTGTGTTGACCAAAAGCCAGGGTGAAATATCCATCTCTGCCCAAATCTCCTCAGCCGTCACTTCACTGTGCCTTGCTTCCATCTGCAGAGGTGGGGAACCGCTTGCCACTCCTTTGAGCATCCTTCATGAGGTCCATGTCGGCATGACTTTTGGCAGCTCCCGCAGCACTTCCTAACTTCTTGGCACCAAGATGTAGTTGTCTTTACTGAGCAGCCCCTTTTCCCATCCCTTTGGGGCATCGTTTGTTCTTAATATCGCTCCATAGGTAGTGGTTCATCACCTTGGTCCACTGTACCTTCCCACAGGTTTTTTTTCCTTTGCTGAAGGTACCAGGAGGTCGTCATGTGCAGAAGTCAGGGTAGACACAAGGAGTTTAATCCCCAAATTGCATGAATGAGGTAACTCCTTTATTGAAGAAATTCCTTGCTCTTGCCCCAGCCTCGCAGCAATGCTCAGCTCCCTGTGCTGCAGACCAGGTCCCATCGCTCACCCAAGCCCTTTGGGAAACAAAGGAGCTGCCTGACGGCTGATCTTTGCTGCTTCTTCCCTTTCCTTTAAGACAACCACCTTTTCATTATGCACCCCACCACCCAGGCTCTCCCATGGCCACCAGACCAAGAAACACATTTGCTACTGCCCCCAGGCATACCCGAGACAACAACACAACCAACGTGATCTTGTCAGTGAAGACTCGGAAGCCACAGTTTCCCCAAGGCACTACATACCCAAGGGTGTTTCTCATGC